TTAAACCTTAAGTGATTTTAGAAATCAGAATTTTAAAAAATTTTGAATGATTTGGGGAGAAAAATTAGGACATAGCAATTTTTTCCTCAAGAGTTCAGACATGCACTGTGTGAATATTTAGCCAAAAGTTGTTGATAATAGTAAAAATTTGTAAATAACCTAAAAATCTATCAATGATACAGTGATTAAAAAATCTGTAGTACATCTATGTAATGGAATTCCATTTAGACTTTGAAAAGTAATGCTGTATATATTCTATATGACTTAACAATTTCACTCCTAGGTATATGTCTGACAGAAATGATACAAATTCTGTGTTGGTTATCTAGTGCTGGTGTAACAGAAATACAAGTAGGTGGCTTTAACATACTTGTTTTCTCACAGTTTAGGAGACTGGAAGTTCACATTCAGGGTGCTGGTTCTAGGGGAAGGCTTTCTTCTCTCTGTGTCGTTTCTGGAGGAAAGTCTGCCTCTCTTTTAGGTCCTGCTCCTAGGCAGTCTTCATGTGTTATAACATCTCTCTTCACCCATCTTTGCTTCTAGCTTGCTTGTTTAATCTCAGACAAGTGTGACTCAAGATAAACTCTACACTGTTCCTTCCTCATGAACATAACAAACACAAGCCATTTGCATATGGGTTTGTAACCACTGGCATAGAGGTTGGATTCACAACACATATTTTGGGGGGACACAATTCAATCCATAACAGTATGCTTGCCAAAACACATTTACAGGAATATTCATAGCGCTATTATTCATGATAATAAAACACTGGAAACCATCCAAATGCCCATTAACAGTAAATTAGATAGATAATTTGTGGTTTATTCACACAGTGGCATACTGTGTACCATTGAGAATGAATGTTCTACTTAACTTGCAACAACATGGATGAATCTCCTACTGATTAAAGAAGCAAGACCCAGCAGGTACATTTGTTATGAGTCCAGTTATGTAAAGTTCAAACATAGACAGAATTAATCTACAGTGTTAGCGTAGTGGATATCCTTGGCAGGGATAGTGACTGGAATGGGACTGAGTAGAGGGTTTCTTGGGGAATAACAATGTGTTATATCTCGAGGTAAATGCTGGTTACAAAGGTTTACAAAGGTCCATTGAGCTGCATAATTAACATTTGTGCCCCTAATTATTTAGGTTATGTTTCAGTAGAAGTTAAAATAAAAGCCCTCCCCAAATTACAAAAAAGTGAGAATTATCTGGTGGTTTTATCAAAAATATTCATTACTGAATGCCTTTGGGGGATAAAATTTTGAGGAGGATTTACTTTCTTCAAGGAGCTCTGGTGGAGTAGTGGATAAGGCATTTGGCTGCTAACCAGAAAGTCAGCAGTTCAAACCCACCAGCAGGAGGAAGATGAGGCAGTCAACTTCTTTAAAGATTTACAGACTTGGTTGGCCACAGCTAACTACCCAGAAGGAGTAAGTAGTTGGACCTGTGGGCTTACGACCATAGTCACAGGGGACATCAAAGTCAATTGGCATAACATACTACACAAAAACATTGTTGCACGTCCTACTTTGGTGAGTAGTGACTAGGATCTTAAAAGCTTGAAAGCTGCCATCTAGATGAAACTATGGGTCTGTCCTCATCCAGAGCAAAGAAGAATGGAAAAAAAAAAAACAAAGACACATGGAAGCAATTAGTCCAAGCATCTGGTACACCATGTAATCCTCAGCCTGTATGACTGTCAGACCAGAAGAGCTAGATGTTGCGTGGCTCCCATGTCAACCATTCAGAGGGGGATCTCTGTAGGAGATCCTGGATAGAGATGGAAGACAACGTGGAACAAAACTCAAAATCATTTACAAAAAAAAAGGGACCAGGTTTGCTGATCTGATAGAGCCTGATGGAACCACTGAGACTGTGGCCCCTAGTTGCCCTTCAGGTCTGGAATTGAACCCACTCCTGCAGCTTCCAGCCAAACAAATGACAAGTATATGAGCTGAACATTTACATTGGGTAGATACGCTCGTTAGAGAGATCAATCATGGGAGAATAGAAGGACAGTGTATGCACAGGGCGACAGCTGAGGGGGGCAGGAGTGCATGGGAGGGCAGGGCATAGGGAAGAGGTAACTATGGGGAGGAAATGAGATGGGAGCTATTGCATTGTGGAAAATTGCAGTCGGTGTCATGAGACAAAGTGTAAATGAACTGCTGCACGGAAAGTGAATTTGCAAGCTTTCACACAATCGCAATAAGAATTAAAAAAAAAAATTTTATAGACTTTGAAACCCACTTGGGGTCGCTGTGATTTAGAATTGACTCAATGGCAGTGAGTTGGTTTTTGGTTTACTTTCTTTATACTTTTCCAGATTATTTGAATTTTTTACATAGAATAACCTTTTATGTTCAGAAAAATAAGAAGGTTAACGTTATTGGAAAAATTATAGATAAGTTACAAGTTACTTTTTCATGATTTCTTATTACATTAATTTTTTACTTTTTAAGTGGTACTTAATGTGGCACATTGCATGTTCTCATGGGACAGAATTCCCAAAGAGTATACAGTGAATAGTTTCTAAGAAGTTACCGTAACTTCTAAGCCACAGCCACACACCTTGAGGGAGTGAGTACTTGGGCCCACAGGCTCAGGACCATAGTTGTGGGGGATGTCAAGCTCAATTGGCTTATTAACATACTGTGTTAGACTGGGTTCTCTAGAGAAGCAAAACCAGTAAAGGTCATATATACATATAGAGGAAGAGAAATTTATCTTAGGAAAATGGCTGACACACTTAACAGAAGTTGGTGAGTCCCAAGTTCTTGGATCAGATGTCAAGCTGGAAGGGCTTTTCCCGAATCAGGCAGCTGCAGGGGCTGAAGAGCTCAAGGTTGGCAGGTAGTACCGGCTGTTGACTCCAACAAACGATGAATCCAAGATCTCCAGGCCGAATGGTGGATCGTTCACTCACGGACAGTTGTAGTGAACACAACAGAATCTCGATCCACAGAAGAGCATCTCTTTTCCCAGGATGTCCACAAATATACTGGAGCAGGCTACACCCCTAGGGAAACTCCCTTTCAGCGGATTGGCTGCTTAAAACATACACATCTGATCCCATCCTGGGAACAACCCATACCACAATTGCTTAAACCACACAGAATTATGGTCCAGCCAAGTTGACACACAGCTCCAGCTATCACACATACTATAGTAAAACATTGTTCTACATCCTGTCTGAGTAGCAGCAGGGGTCTTAAAAACTTGTGAGTAGCCATCTAATGTGCAACAATTGGTGTCTGCTCATCTGGAGCAAAGAAGCTTGAAGAAAGTAAAAAACATGGGAACAATTAGTCCAGGGGACTAGTGGGCCATGGGAACGTCACCTTGCATAAGTCTGAGACTAGAAGAGCTAGATGATGCCCAGCTGCCACTGCCAGTCACTCAGAAAGGGATCAGATTGGAGATCCTGGATACAGAAGTGTGGACCAAAACTCAAAAAGAAAAAAAAAACCTGGCTTACCGGTCTAATAGAGATTGGTGAAACCCTCGAGACTAAGGCCCCTAGTTGCCCTTCTGGCCTGGAATTGAACTCACTCCCATGGCTGCTTAACTTCCAGCCCACAGTAGACAGGCATGTGAGGTGAACAGTTACACCAGGTAGGTATAGTCCTTAGAATAATCAACCATGGGAAATCAAAAGTACAGGTTTTGCTCAGGGAGATAGCTCAGAGGGCAGGAATGCATAGGAAAGAAGGACAAAGGGAGGAAGAGGGAAGAGAGCTGTTACATTGTGGGGATTATAATCAGTGTCACAAAACAAAATGTGTATGACCTTTTAAAAACAAAAATTGAGGGGGGAAAAAGTCTCTTATTCCTGTCCTCCTACTCATCTGCTTTCCTTTCCTTTTAGCAAAGCACAATGTTATTGGAGATAATACTATCAATATACAAATATAAGTGCATTTATATGGGTGTATATTTTACTGTAAAGACAGTGGTGGTTTAAGAGAATTCTCACATTCCATGTAGGAGACATGGGTTTGATTCCGAGGATCACACTTAAAACATAGCCACCACTAGTCTGTCAGTGAAGGCTTATGTGTTACTGTGATGCTATACAGGTTTCAGCAGAGTTTCTAGACTAAGATGGGGTAGGAAGAAAGGCCTGGCAATCTATTTCTGAAAAGTCAGCCAGGTGAAACCCTACAGAGTACAACAGTCTGATCCCATTATACATGAAGACACCATGAGTCTGGCTGACTTGACAGCCAAGAGCCATATAGCAACGATAGTATTTTACTGTTCTGTGCTTTGTGTTTTTTCATTTGATGTACGTTATAGAGATTTCCATTTGAAGATGTAGGAAACTTTTTCATTTCAATTTTTATAACTACATAGTACTCTGTTGTGAGAATATACCATAATTCCTACAGCAGACCCTCTTGAGGAACATGTAGATTATTCTCCATCTCTCTTAACACTATAAAAATGCTGAAATAAATAACCTTATACTTGTTATTTTACATGTATTTTGTGTATCTGTATTCCTGGAAGTGGAATTTTTGAGTCTCTAAGATTATGCATTGTACTAATGATAGATATAGCCATGTTCTCTAGGGTTTTTGATTGAGAAATTTGTTACGAAAATTTGTATGTTCTTGTACTCAGGAAGTGTATATAGTTAAATGTCTTTTTAAAGTTAGGTTTTTATAATTTTTTCATAAATATTTTAAATGAAATTGTCTTATATCCTATATTGCACTTTCAACTGTTTGAGCTCCTTTTAGACAGTTGCCATACCCTTTGTTCTATGGGTGGGAAAGCCATGATACCCAGAATAAGTTCTGTTTTTCACTCTGAGGTCTGATTCCATAAGGTAAATCATTACTTAAATTTTCTCCTTGTTATGAAAATCTCACAATGAAATAATCAGTCAACCCTGAAACTTTCCTGCAAGTGCCACTTTTGTTTGTGCTTCTATATTAGTTAACTTTGGAAGGATCAGACTTTTTAATCCTTGATGTTTTTCCTAGTCAATGATGAAACTAGTCGAGATGCTGAAGTCACTGCCAGGGAACACTTGGGTTCCAGCAGCTCCCTCCAGTCCCGTGAAGAGAAGCAAGAGCCTGTTGTGGTAAGGCCCTATCCACAGGTCCAGATGTTGTCCACTCACCATGCTGTTGCCTCGGGCACACCTGTCACGGTGACAGCCCCACCAGCACATCTGACGCCAGCAGTGCCACTCTCATTTTCAGAGGGACTCATGAAGGTAATAAAGAGGCTAAAAATTTCACATTGAACCGCAGCTAAAGACTAGTTAATGTTTATGACAATTTTTATGCTATCTTAATCTGCATATTAGGATCATACTTTGTTTTTACTTTTTGATCTATCAGTTTGGCTCATCTCTGTAACCCAGAGCTCTGCTATTTTGTAGTATCTAGTCTCGTGCCACTGGGCAATTGGCATCACAGGATTTTTTCTCTTACCCATTCTGAAATTGATTTTAAGTCACAGACATGCTGAGTCAATTTTTATCTTGAAGTGGTACTACTCTTCTCCAAGGTTTTTTGAATAAAGACTGATTGGAGATTATTTGAGAAAATTGCCTTGTTCAGTTACCTTGTGATGTCTTTTCAGCTACTGGGAGCTTTATTTATTGCTGGTACCTGTACTAGGGAGGCAGCATTGCATAGGAGAAGGCACATGGCCATATGCCATACGGAGCTTAGCTTTATTCCTAGTTGTACTTTTTACTGTTAGTGAGGCTTTGAGTGAGTCACTTACCCTTATTCTGTATATTTCCTCATCAGTAAAATGTAGATCCTAGTAATGATATGGAAAAACTGTGATGCTAAGAGATAAAGTATATAAGGCTTCTGGTATCTTTGCTAGCTTGCTACAGGTATGATTTATGCACTTTTAACTATAGAGTGAAATGCATCACTAGTAAAAGACCATTGATAACATTTCATGTGGTTTTCTGTTTGCAGCCACCCCCGAAGCCTACCATGCCTAGCCGTCCTATTGCTCCTGCTCCACCTTCTACCTTGTCACTTCCCCCCAAGGTTCCAGGGCAGGTTACTGTTACTATGGAAAGTAGCATCCCTCAAGCTTCAGCCATTCCTGTGGCAACAATCAGTGGACAACAGGTTTTTTTCCTTTTAATTTGCTGATTTTTCAACTGAGATGTCAAATTATTGATCACTGTTTATTGGATGCCAGCAGTACATTAGGCATTGTACTAAATAAAAACTTAAATGGTCACTGATACCTATAAAAGGAAGGTAGTATGTGTGAGAAAGGAGGACAGGTGTAAGAAGTAGAAACTAATATGTATAGTGGTCTTTCTCAATTATGCAATATTTGTTGTGCATCTGCTATGTGCTAGGCACTATTCTTACTGTAAGGTACACATGAAACAGGACAGTCCATGTCCTTGAGGAGCTCAAGAGTCCAGTTGGTCCTTGGTCTAGGTAGGAAACTTTGATGTAGCCAGGCAGTCCTCAGAAGTAGGGTTGGACAGTGATTCTCTGATTTGATGTTTAAATATTTAAAATTATTTAACAACGGAAAGTCCAAACTCCAAACTTTTTGTTCACATTTTCAAGAAAATTATTATTCCAAAAAGATGCACTGTTGGGTTTTTTGTTTTGTTTTGTTTTGTTTTTTGTTATACTGCTCTCTCTGTATTCCCAGAAATACTGAAACCCCAACCCAAGAAGCACTGTTTCAGAGGGTTGGGAGAATGTGAGAAAGGGACATTTAAGAGGTGAGCCAAAGAACTGGTAGGAAGTAACCTGTTGGGTGCTGACTGAAATTTACATAGAAAGTTTATATAACATCGAAGACTTGATGAGTACAGTGGCACATAAAGGAAGTAGTGAGAATGGGGGAAAACAAATTTTTGGCCAGGACAGAAAAAGCAGCATGATAAACTAATATTGGAGATAAGAGCTTATAAATTTGGACAGTCTAATGTATCATCTGTTACTGGCACTGCTGGGTCCTAATTAGTTGATGGAGCCTCACAATTACCACATGCCTGTTTGCGTGGGTCATCTTACAGTGTACTGAACAGCAAAACTAAATGCTTTCAGTCCTTTTCCTTTGGGTATTCACTGGCAAAAGGAAGAACCTAACTCACATTTGGAGGCAACTGACTTCTTAGAGCAATTGGTAAGTGATGACTAAACAAAAAAATAACTTTCCATCCCATTTGTTGCAGGGACATCCTAGTAACTTGCATCATATCATGACCACAAATGTACAGATGTCTATCATCCGCAGCAATGCTCCTGGGCCTCCTCTTCACATAGGAGCTTCTCATTTACCTCGAGGTAAAGACGGCTGATTCATTTCAAATTCTTGAAATGACAGATACACATTGGTATCTGGTAGAAAGTATGATAACACAGATTATATTTAAAATCAGTTTATTAAAGTTGCAAGACAGTAGAAATAAAATTTAGCAGTCTACAGTATTAGCACAGTCTAATGTATGCTTAATATAGTTACAGTACAAATAAATATATATGTGTGTGTGTAAATATATGGCAATACAAATTTTTAGCAATGTCTAAATTTTGTCCATTATGCTGTAGAGTTCCCCAATGTTAGGGTAGTCTAAACATGGTCTTTATCTAAAAAAAAGCCAAATATATTAATGTTGAATATTTTAAAGGTGTAGTGATAAATGACCTCTCAATTCTTTAAAAAAATTTGTATAGCAAAAAATTTATTCAAGTAAGTTGTACAGTAGTAAAATTGATGAGATTCCTCAGGTAATCAGAAGAAATTTACCTTCTGTTGGAGAATGTAAAAATCATTGTTGTCAAAGTCAGGTTAAATAGAAAATTAGGTTTATTCTCATAATATACTCAGTGTTTCTCATGAACATGTGGTCCACAGACCCTTTTAGGGGATCTACAAGGTCAGACTGGCTTTTGTAGAAATACTAGGATGTTATTTGCCTTTTTACCATGTTGACATTTATACTAAAGTAAAAAGGCAATCATGCTGAAAGTTAACTCTGGCTATTTGGTGGTTAAACTGCTAGCTCCTTAGCATGAGTCAAGACAGTAGCCCTAAACTGGATAAGTCATTGTGTTCTTTCCTGCTATGTACTTGTTGTGTGTTTTTTTTTTTAAAAAAAGAGCCAGTTTTGTTTAAGAATGTTCTTGAATAAGCATTATAGATTACTGATTTTATTAATCCTTGACATTTCAGTATATGTTTTCTTAATTTTCTTGTGATAAAATGAGAACTATACATGATGTTCTTTTCTGCTGACTGTTGAAATTTGGTATGTCTAGGAGAAGTGCTTGTGAATATTTGAGCTGTGAGCTCTGTTGGTTGCTCTTTTCATGGAACACCATATTTACTTGAAAGAATGCTTAATAGACAAACTATGGTTATTTAGACTATGGAATTTGGCAGACATTTTCTCAAGAAAAACAAGTGACAATTTTTGTTGCTGATGATAAAATTCAAATTTTCAAGCAAAAATCAGAATTTTGGAAAACCTGTATTTTCCACTGAGCTTAACACTTAAAAGACTTTTCTAGTTGGATTGGTGGTACTATAAATGTTATTTTTTGATATTGTATATTGAAATATGTCAACAATTGAAGAATTATCTGCATAATGCAGGGAATCAGTTATTTTCCAGATGACCAATGGTTTGAATGTTACTGCATCATACATGGATACAAAATCCATTCAGGATTCAAGATAGACTAATCTTGATATAAACAGTATGAAAAGCTGCTCTGTAAATTTTCACCCAAATCACAATAAAAATAAAATAAATAAATAGATAAGCTCAGTGATACGGTTTCAGATTCCACACTGCAACTCATTTTTGATGAATTACTGTTTGTTGCATTTTAGTGAGTAGCCACAGTTACTTGGAAAGACTATTAGATTTTTTTCCATGTTCCAATTCCATTTCTATTGAAAGTTTTTTCCTTCAAATTTAACCAAAACAACATATCGCAACAGATTAAATGCAAAAGCAGGTAAGAGACTCCAGCTGTCTTTTAAGCCAGTCATTAAAGAAATTTGTGAAAATGTAAAACTACGTTAATCTTCTCACTAAATACACTTTTTAAACAGTTACTGTCATACAAAAAAATTGTATTAGTATATAATGGGTTTATAGGAGTCTCTGAGGGGTGGAAACAGTTAATCATTTAGCTATTAACCTAAAAGTTGGCAGTTCATAGCCACCTAGGGGCGCCTTGGAAGAAAGACCAGCCATTGATGATAACCCTAAGGAGCACAGTTCTATTCTGACATATACGGGATCACCATGAGACAGAATCAACTTGACAGCAGGTGGTTTGGTTTGATATAATGGATTTTTGTGTTGTTTTTAAGATAATATTTTAAAATTTTGTCAGTTTAAAATTTTTTTTTGAGTATTGTACAACTTCAACCAACTCCAGTATTGGAAGCAGAAGTAGGAAGGTTCATATAAACAAAAGCCCTTTGGGATCCTCAATAATATTTAAGAACGTAAGGGTATCCTAAAGGTAAAATACTTGTGATGCACTGACATAACTGAGTTTTAAAAATTACTGTGACTATTTTCCTAGGGATTATAATAAGATCTATGTAAATCATGAGCCCATAAAACACACTCATAATTTTTTTTTCAGGTGCAGCTGCTGCTGCGGTGATGTCTAGTTCTAAAGTAACCACGGTCTTGAGGCCGACTTCCCAGTTGCCAAATGCTGCTACAGCACAACCAGCAGTACAACACATCATTCACCAACCAATCCAGGCATGTCTAGGTTGGGGGTCATCAGCCGGCAAGGATTTAAGTACCTACTCTGAGTTATACACTCTCCTAGCCACTGGGCAAGCCTTGACCTTAAGTAACTTTCAGGCTAGTTAGCCAAGACATAGGGATGGATGTATAATATACAATGTCATGTGATAAGCTATAGGAATTTAGAAAAGAGAGTAGAGATGGATAGAGTGAGAAGGATTCAAAGACATGAAAAGGAGGGAAGTACTGTGAACAGTGGAAAGGATGACTGTTGATGGCTATTGCATATTCAGACAAGTGTACAGTATGCTTCGCTAGAACTGAGGGGTTTTAATTTAAATGGGGATTTATAAAGTGCTAAAAGTTTTTGCGTATATTTTTGCATATGTGTGTTTTTCCAAGAAGATGGTTCATTTCTTTAAAGGAAATCTGTGACCTCAGTATTACTGAAATGTGTATTGTATTAATTAGTGGGAGATAATGTGATGTCTGTAAACTGGGCACTCAATGACATGGAGTGTAAACTTGATTTTGTAGGCAGCAGAGTACCACTGAGCTTTTTGTACATAGTATGGAAATACATGACAAAGAATATTGATAATATATGATCAAAGAAGTATCTCTGAAAAATTAATCTAATTGAGTTACATGAGAAGAGTGAAAATTCACTTGCCTTCGGGGGCCAGGCAGGTAATGTGTGTGAAACAGCTAAATTTAAGATAATAAGGAACAGTCCTGATTAGGACACTGGTTAGTACATGTCTAGGCTAAAGCTTTCAAATGAAAACAAAATACCTTGCTAGTCAGGAAAAAACGTTTGGAGGGTCCTTAGGCCCCCATGAGTATGTATGGTATAGTTTAAGAAGGATTGAAGAAATAGAACCAAGACAGGGAGGTGACTGATACTGTAGTAACCTTGGTATAAAGTAAGCTGTCCATGGCGGAAGCAGCTGGTAAGTGGGCTGGAGGTGAAAAAATAGAGGAATAGGCAGACTTTAGTGATTTGACCTTGGATATGCAGGGTCAGAAAGGAAGGAAGAAGCAGAAGAGCTCAGATATTAGGAGGAGAATATGGACACATGGGTGAAGCCCAGTGTGGACCTTGTTGGTCACTTGAAACTTTGACACACAGATGTGGTGGTAATGGCGTTGTATCTGAATGAAGACATCTAGGAAATACCTGGGCATCATGTATCTTTCATTGCAGAGAATTCTTTTACCTTTTGTATGGTAACTCAGATGGCCTGAGAGCCAGCAGTTCTGTCTGGTAGCCAACTGGGCTTCTGTGGAAGACATTTGATGATACAGGGGTATAAAATGTCTGCTCTAAGACCAGCAACACGCTGTGTAAACTCTAGAACTGAAGAATTAGGTATGTCTGAATGGTAGGACAAAATTTTGACTGATTTTTTTTTTTTTTTTAAATTCTGCCTCTGTGTTACAACAACCTGTGTGAAAAGAGAATTCTTAAGTGTTAGGATGGTGAGAGTTTACTTTCATTTGGCCATAAATAAATTTATTAGGAGACCCAGATTTCTAATTATACTTTTAGTGTTTGGCTTAGTGTATTTTGTTTTGCTTTTTACTTTAAATGAAATATTTTTTCTTTTTTCTTGTTAGTCTCGTCCACCTGTGACCACCTCTAATACCATCCCTCCTGCTGTGGTAGCAACTGTCTCAGCCACCAGAGCTCAGTCTCCAGTCATTACTACAACGGCAGCACATGCTACTGATTCAGCACTTAGGTATATTTGGGGGTCTGAAGATCAAGGCATGTTTCTATCTTCCATCTCTGTTTTTCTTTTTTCCTTCATTTCACTTAATATATATTGAGGGGTTTTTGTTTTTGTTTTTATAAGCCATGTGCTATTCTAGATACTGGGGATAAAGCAGTGAAGACATAAATTTCTGCCTTCATAGAGTTTATAGTTTTAAGGGCTCAAGACATAGTAAACCAACAGTATTGTTTGTTAGAAGGTAGCAAGTACTTTGGAGAGAAATTAAGTAAGGTAAGGAGATTTGTAGTGACAAAGTTGTACAGGGGACCTACTATTTCATATCAGGTGCTTAGAGAAGATTTTTTTAATAAGAATGCTTTGAGCAGAAAATGGATAGATGTAATGGAGTGGGCTGTCTAGGAGAACAGTCTACACAGTGGAAATAGTAAGTGCAAAGATCTTGAGACAGGAGTATACTTGCCACATGTAAGGAGCAGCAATGAGGCCGATAGTGGGGGTGTGGCAGGAGTTAAGTTCAGAAAATAGCAGGGGCCCCAGTAGGGCCTTATGAACCAGTTTAAATATTTAGGCTTTTCTGGGAATGCAGTAGGAAACCTTAGAAGAGTTTTGTGCAGAGGAGTGCCATCTGAAATTTTAGTTGGATCAGCCTAGGTACAGTGTAGAGAGGCAAAGTTGGACAGATCATTTAGAAAGGCTATGGCAGTGATCTAGGGGAGATGATGTTGAGGTAGAAAGACATGGTTAGATTTTAGATATATTTTGAAGATAGAATAAAGAGGATTTCTGAGGAGTTCAAGGGGGTGTGAAAAATTCCTGCATCTTGGCCTGTGCAACTAGGATGGTAGAGTTGCCATTAACTTGAGAACTGTGGGAGGAGTAGGTTTTGGGGAGAAAATCTAGACTTCAGTTTTGGACATTTTAAGGTGGTGATGACTTCTGAACATCCAAGTTAGAGATTATGATACAGGTTGGTATATGAGTCTGGAGTCCAGGAAAGAGGTTTCCAAAACCAAACTCACTGCCGTCGAGTCTTTCCGAGGCAGTAACACTATGGAAGTAGATTGCCAACCTTCCTTCTGAGGAGTGCTGGTGGGTTTGAACCGCCAGCCTTCTGGTTAGCCTTAGGCACTACATCACTAGAGCTCCCGGGAAGAGGTTTGGAAGAGAGAATCTAGTAGAAAGGAAAGAGGTTTGTGAGAGAAAAATGGCCTCCACTGGAGAGGGTTCTCTCAGGGAAACAGTATTCTCAGGGGAGAGCCAAGATTCATTAAGGCAAGAAGTTAAAGGATCTGCTCAGAAGAGAGGTTGAACATATATTGGATTTTATTAATAAATGGATTGCAAATCCAGTGGGTACAGTGGAAGAGTTGGAGGCTTGAAAACAGAAAATAGTGCAGTTATGGGATTTACAGAGCTATTTATGGATAAAGACTGATTAATGACATGATCTTGGAGTCTTGTGTTACCTGGTCTCCAAGCCATATTATGGTGATAAGGCTGAAAGGTTTGGGGGTTGGGGGTCAGCAGGATGTGGGTGTTACTGGAAAGACACAGACTTCTGGTGGTCTTTGTTGAGTCTTGCCTTCAGGTTGTAGGTGCCAGAGGAGTCATCTTTGGTAAAAAGAAGTGATTCACTGAACAAAAGAAAGGATATTAGGCATGGAGAATTGAGCTGTTAGAAACCAGAGACCATCCCTAGGGCTTGATTACCTCTTCAAAGAAGGGCAGAGTGGTGAGGGAGATGGAGGAGTCTGAGATGCTTCCTAGATTTCTTTCTTGGTTGACAAAGTACATAAAAAGGAAATAGGGAAGGAAAAACAGGTTTTAGAACAAAGGTTGAGTTTTGGGATACTGAGTTTTTCTCGAATAACCAAGTGGTTCTTGTCAATAGGCAGTTGAAGCACAGGAGAAATGTTTGTGCTGGAGGTAATAAGTTTAGGAGTCATCAACATATGAGCTACAATTAAAACTTTGTGATATCTGAATCTATTCAAGGGCAATTAATAAAATGAGAAGAGAGCCTAGGACATAACTCTAAAGAAAATGATATTTAAATGAAGCATGTGCCTAGGACCTTAGCTGTAACTATAAACCATTAATTTACTAGCTTTGTGACATTAGGCAAGTTTCCTAACTTCTTCAGTCCTTAGTCTCCTCTTTGATAGAATTAGAGTACATATATATATATTTTTTATTTTTATTTTTTTCAAATCGTTTGACGAAATTTATTAGCATGAATGTGTGTACAGTGAAAACTGGTTTGAGTTTTTTTTTTTCATCATATAATTGAAGTATTGATTTTTTCTCAATGTAATGAGTTTTTGTTTGTTTAATAAAAACGGGTATTAAATCTTGTCAAATGCATTTTCAGCATTCACTCATATAGTAAATATTTAGTGCATACTTCTATGTGCCAGACACTGCTCCAGGCACTGAAATATACTAATAAACAGACAAAAGTGCTAATGATTTATTTATTTTCTTTTTTAATTGCATGTGTGATGATGGAAAATTCATAATATCTAACTCTTAGAATTCTGGAGATAGAAAGTTTAAGTTGACTAATCTTTATAGAAAAAATAGGAAACAAAAAAATTTAAATCACTATCATCCAGAAAAGCACCAGGCCAGGCAGTTCTGCAGGAGAATTCTACACATGCTCAAACACCATATAACCCCAATGATACTAAATTGGTTTAAGGCATAGAAGAAGAAAGTTAAAAAAAAAATTAAGTGGAAACTCTTACTCTTTCTGTGAAATGGATTCAGTTCAGTACTGTCTTATCAGTTCTTTCACCTTTTTGTTTTTTTCTTTTATGCATTTTGAATGATTTACTCTCTCAGTTTTTTAAGAAGGATTTATAGGACTGATACTTCCCAAGGTTTTGCTTGCTCAAAACTGTCAGATGTCTTTATACTTAAGCCAATATAATTTATTTTTAATTTCTGTGTTCTTTTCATAAATATTTAATAGGTATTTCTTTGTGCCTTCTAGAGCAGTCTGAGGCCAGACTATATTTTTCTTTAGCCCTTTAAAAGACCTTGATCTTTTTGCCTGAATTTTTATTTAATTATATTTTACTGTGTTTTCAATGAAGGTTTACATAACACTTTAGGTTCCTAGTCAACAATTTCTGTACAAGTTGTTCAGTGACATTAGTTAGTTCTTCAGAATGTGTGAACATTCTTATTATTTTCATTCTGGTTGTTCTGTTTCCATTAATCTCATTTCACTGCCCCCATAATTCTCAACTTTGTTGTAAAATAATTGTTGATCATTTGCTCTTACATGGGTGACTTTTTTAAAGGAGCACAGTACTTATGGGTGACAATTCCTTGTTTTGTGAGCCAGTTTGTTATTTAGCTACAAGGTGACCTCAGGTTAGTTTTTGTTCAGTGTTTGAAGAGTATCTCAAGGCAATAGCTTTGAGAGTCCTGTAGTCTCAACCAGTCCAATAGGCCCCCCTTTTTTTTTTCCAAGAATTTGGGGTTCTGTTCCAAATTTTTCTCCCATTTTATCAGGGTGTATCTGTTGTGACCTTGATTAGAACAATTCGTAGTGGTAGCTGGGCACCATCTAGTTCTCTTGGTCTCAGGGTAAATGAGTATTTAACCTGTAGACTAGTTTCTTCTTTTGAGTCTTTGATCTTCTTTTTCCTTTGCTGTAGACAAGTAGAGACCAGTAATTGTATCTGAGATGGTTGCTCATAAGCTATTAAAACCTCCGACAGTACTCACCAAACTAGGATATAGAACATTAGAACTATATTATGCCAGGTGAGTGAGAGGTCCCACAGGACTATGGTCCTAATCCTTTAAACCCCAAAATCCATCCCATGACGTATTTGGTTATGTGTAACAAATATCTGTAACTGTGCCCCTTGTGTGTTTTATTATATACATGTACATGTTGTTGTTGTTGTTTTGCCGTCGACTCATAGTGACCTCTCCTTGGGTTTCCGAAGCAGTATCACTACCGAAGTAGGATTGCCCAACCTTCCTTCTGAGGAGTGGCTGGTGGGTTTGAACCGCCAGCCTTCTGGTGAGCAGTCAAGTGCCTTAGGCACTATGCTACCAGAGCTCCTATACATGTACATACAGTCATGTAAATACATGTAAATATACACATACCCGTATGTACATACCTATATACCTACATACATACATACATATATACGCGTACATTTTTTTTGGCGGTTGCTATTATTTCAAAATTACCATCAGGTCCTTTTTTCTTGTGTACTTTTTAATGACATCATTTACAAGCTATGTACACTTCACCCTCAAGTAGTGTTAAATTTCCATAACCAAAACAAGCATCTACTATTTAGAGACTGAATATCCTCTCCTCATCCCTGGTAACCACTAATGAGCAATAGTTATTGTATATTGACCTATTTGTGCCATTTCATAAAAGTGAGAACATTCAATATTTGGTGTGTTTTCTTTTTTTTTTTGTGATTGACTTACTTTGTTCAACATAGTGTCCTCCAACATATTTTAAAAATGTTCTAAGATGTTTTAAAAGCTCATATTTATTTATCACTTGAGTTGCATTCTAATGTATGTATGTGCCATCCATATGTTGATGGCCAATTAGATTGTTTTCATCATCTTGATATTGTGAATAGTGCTGCAGTGTGCAATATACTTTTTACTTGACTCTTGCCCAAGATGCTTTATCTTTAAATGTCAGCAATTTTACTAGAATGTTTTTTTGTGCTAACTATATGCGTCATTTTGTCCTGCAACATGGTATGCTTTTCTAATCTATAGTATAAAATTATCTTTTTTTCCTGAAAAGTTTTCTTGAAATATGTCTTTAAATTCTGTTCTATTTTACTTCTTTGGGGGTCACTCAGTTATATGTATGCTGGATCTCTTTGTGTGACTTCCTTTCCCTGATCTCTTTTAAACTTATCTTCCTTTTCATTCTGCTCACTTTGCTCATGATCGTCTCTGTGCCTTAATGAGTTTTTGGCACTCTGATGTGCTTTTAATTTTGC